GGGGGGGATAAGCATGCGGACGAACGTCGGCTTTGGTATTTTGTGGGTTCAGGATGGAAGGACGCTGTACAACAAATGATACCGCGCCTAACGACCAAGATGCACAAACGGTGGCAAGGCTGATTACTAGGGTTACGGTTATGAAAACATCTGCAATCCAGGTGCCGACCATGTGACTGTGGACCTAGAGGTCGTGGGGTTCAATCAATCAACACGGAGAGCTTATCCTTTACGACGACTTTGGACGCGCGCGACAACCAGGCGCGTGCGGCAAAAAAATCAACCAGACGATTGTGTGACTGCACTGCACGTCAACGTTGAATCATCAGTACTTGTGGTTGGTTCGAGACCAATAACAATCCGATTTCAGGGAACACAAGGGCGGACCTTGCAACTAGCTACTTGCAACCACACCCGGCGCGACAATGGCTGGTTTGTTTACAAGCATGCATTGTATAAAAACCGAAGAGTTTTGGCCGACCAGTGAGAGAACGGGGTATTTTTTTACACACAGCAGCAGCAGTGATCGGGTGAGCGGCGGGTGGTTCCATGAATAAAAGAGAGCGGGCAGAGAAAAATTGTACCAGTACAGAAGAGCGGAAAAGGTTCGCCAGTTTTTCTTTTTCCGACCGGCTGTCGCCGTGCGGTTTCAGGGTAGGTATTCCCATCTCTCTCTGCTGTGGGGGCGCTGGACGGATGGCGAGCATTCTTCCCGAAAGAGGGGGCTGGGGAGAGATCATGCGCTCTTTGTCGTGTCACCGCTGGGCTTTGCTCAACGTGTGAAACAATTTTCTTGTACCCCTTGAACCCTGGCCGGTAATAAACAAGGTTCATTTAGAATCAATCGCAGACACCCCCCCCTACCCCAGCTCTTCGTCTGAAAGATGACAGATGGTTGCTGCCTGCACATGCGCGATAATTAAAGGAGTGCTTGGTCTCTCTCTCTAGCTCTCGTCGTGCTGACTGCTCTTGCCGTATATATCGGGATGATGCCTGCTACAGCAGCAGGCATGCATCGCTCATTCAAACCCGCGTCACAACAACTGTGAAGGTGCACACGAGATGTTCATGTCATGGGCGCTCCAGAGGCGGCGGGCGAATCGGTCGTATTTGTTTTCCGCTTCGTCAGGTAGGAAGTGAGCACAACTTCCCTACCGACCACCCAAAATCTCCTAACCAAAGAAATGGCAGAGAGCCTAGTAACGCTGGGGTACCCCGTTCTCGGGCGTGCACGCGGCGGGGTTACTGCCGCTGGTTGCGCGCACTGGTTATGCCAACCCATGATGCCGGTGTTTTTCTACAACCAAACTGCGGGGAAGCGGAGACAAGACAACAATTAAGTTGGGTGTTTCCCATGTGTCATTTTCGCATCTTCTATCTCGATTGATCGGCCTTAACACCAACACCCCTGCCACACGCTGACATTCACACACGGCACCTGGCATGATTCAGGAGCTCTCTTCAGTCACCCGATGAGCAGTCGCAACCTTTTCCCTAGCAGTAGTAGCCGTTGCTGTGCTCGAAGGGTTTTTGGTGTGGTGATTTTTTTGTGTGGCCCGGGGGGTCGGGGGGCAATCAACTGCGCAATCTGGCTCTCTCTGTTCTTTCGTTTCGCAAGAAAATTGAACCAAAGTTGGCAAATCTCCTTTTGGCCGTTCACGTTTCGAAAGTTTACATTTACACCAGCCATGTTGTTCGCCGCCGGGGAAGCATGCATGCGCATGGTTGCTCTGCTCATGCTGCTGTTGTTGCTGTCGTTGAGCAGAGAGAGGACATGTGCGCGCGACGTCAACGGAAAAGCAGGCACAGCTTGCCAAAATAGCGACGTGCCACTGCTGGTCAGAGATAAACGGGTTTTCACTTTGATGTTGGTGACTGACTTTCTCTCCACTTACCCATGAGTCGCTGCTGTTGCTGCTGCTTTTGCTGCTGTTATGCTGCCGTAATGATGCTGCGAGAAAGCAAACACTGCGTCTTGACCCGCTGCTGCTGCTGGTGTGGGCGTTGGTTTTGGAGGAGGTGTCGTAGCTGGAGGTGAGACCTTGCTGGACTGGGTGGCTGTGTGTGCTCAAGAGTGAGTGTGTGTGGGTGTTTGGGTGACCCTGTTTTTCAGATCTGTTTTTTTCAGATCTATTTTTTCTTCTTTTTTTTGCGTGGTCCCCTGTTGATATTCGGCGTCAGGGGGGCTGGTGCGTTTCCCCTCTCATAGATCAAGTCGTTTTGCGACACCTGGTTCCAGAATATTTTTGCGGGGGGTACGAAATTTTTAAAAAATTACATTCGAAGGGAGTGTTCGAAGGAGAAGCAAACGTGAACGGGACGGTTGGTTGATGGGTTGGTGATCCGTACAGATATAGTCTAGATGCATGCATGCATATCCGCGGAGGAGATAATTTTACGGACAAAAAAACGGATGCAGCACACAGATCACATAATAGATGATGTACAGACAGACACACACACTTCTGAGCTTGAATTCGACAATTCAACTGTTGTTGTATTTGGGATCATCCGTGCTGACACCAGCGCATTGTTCACCGGAGACAGAGAAGGTGCTCCTGTGAAGTAGGCAGGTCGGTGTGGTATGCATTTTCAGTTCAGTTTTCGGAGAGAACAAATGTCCTATCATGCCCCTTTTCAGTCACAATAAAGAAAATCCGTGCACCCGCCCGCCCTTCCGTTTCCGCCGCCTACAATGCAATCTCAAGTAAACTGGACGGGTGGACACGGAGCAAGAGGGTTTGTGTGCGTGATATCAGAACATTACCAAGGATTTTATCGTCAACATCGGCGGCAGCTCATTATTTCATTAATTGATTGACATATTTTTTTCAGTCAGACCTTTACAAACATGTACGTGTGTTTGCTTCTGGAACAGAAGGTATACTCTGTTTATATATACCGTCTATAACATCTACCACCGCCGTAAGAGAGAGGCAGAGAGACGGCAACCCCCCCTAGGCCGACCTCCAAGGCTCGATTGCTTCACGATCAAAGGGGGTGCGGAAAGAGCCTGATGATAGACACGTCTGAAATATTCTCGACGATATATTTCCAAAACCACAAATCATCATCTTCGGTGTTGGCACAAGCAGCTTGGTTGTTGAGTCAAGCAAGGGGGGTGCGATCAATCCGCATGCGTGCATTTGGCTGGTAACATCTTATCACGGAACAAATAAATAAACACCGATCACATGCCATGGGATTTGAGAACAACAAACACGGATGCATGCATAGATAAGTAGATACGTAGACCTAAACGGATTTGCTTGCTGTTGTTACTGCTGTTGTATCGGTTAACGGTATTTTTGTTGTGTTGTACACGGAGGTTCGCTACCAACCGTCCTCTGCACCACCACCAGTTGGTTGAGGACTTGTTGTTCACGGAGAAACGATTGATTGTCATGTTGCGTCTGTCCCCTCATCCCCTGCCGAAGAGCTTCACCCGTTCTTCGCGTTTCGTTTTCCGAAACCGCCGGGAACACATAAATAATCTGGAGCCACGACGCCGACCCGCCGGCACACCGCTGCCGCCGTATGCAACTAACTGCTCCTGCTGCTGCTGCTGCTGGTGGCGGGGTGACCATGTCGCCCGTCCTACCGTGTGGACTACGTTTTTTTCCCAGGATCTGACTACGGCGCCGTCCGCGTTGGTCTGGATGGTTCCTTCAAACAACGACAACAACGACAACATCAGCAATTATAGCATTGCGTAGATAGGACAACCCTTCGACTTGAAAATTCCTTGGGGCATGTTGTGATGTGTGTTTTCTTCACAGATCAAGAATTCTGGGTAAGAGCGTTTGGCACGGATTGAGTTTGTTCAGTGCACTATTTTTTTTCTAAATTAAGAATTCTGCTTCTGCTGGAACGAAAGCGCTCGAAAGGAAGCACAAAACGTCACCAGGAGTCCCCACGGAAACGATTGCAGCGAAACTTCCGTCATCGGGTCTGTCAACAATGCGAGCAAGCACGGGGTTCCGTCTCGAAAGGAAGCGGCACAACAACAAAATATCAGCAACAACCCCCCCGCACCCCCGACAAGATGATCTGAGGCAGGTCGAGATATTCCTGGCCACGTGTGGTGACTTCGTACGGTACAGCGCATCTTGCTTCTCCCGTTCGGCTCTAGTTCTATCTAATGCTCTCCATGTAAAACCAAGAGAGGCAAAAAACACAAAACGCCGTCGGATCAAAGCGCACCGTACTTGGGTGGTGGTAAGCGCGGCTACCAACAAATCAAAAATCGTCGAACTTGCTGTCGATCATCCCTCTCCTCTGCATGTCCCAGAGCAGTCCCAGCTGCTTCCACACAGGGGTCAGGGTGCTGCCACACGACGAACATACCACCAGGCGAAACACGAGGCCAAGAAAGACAAGCGGATACGAGAGGAGCGGAACCAGCACACGCACACAAGACAAAACCGTCAAAATAAGAGTAGTACTTTGTGTCAATGACCCGTGAACATTGTGCTGTGTAAGTTTTGCAATCTAACGCCCCAGAACCAAGCGACGGCAACCTGGTGTTAGACATCCAGCTGCCTCAAGCATCATAACGCTTGCCATCCCTCACCACACCGGCAGCGACATGACATCCGCCAAAAAAAGAAAAGGATACCCACCTGGCGGCACTCATGCCACTGGCTGCCACCGCTGGCAAACCCAGTCCCGGCAGCGTCGAATCTCCGCAGTGAAGCAAGCCTTTCAGAGGCGTTACGCACCCGGGGAACTCAGCTTTGCCCGCTCTCCACCCAGGCCCGTAGGAGCCTTGCGGTTTCGTTGCGGTTGAGTAGTGAGACGCAAAGAAAGATCAACGATCCTTGATGCCTCGGAAGTCAAGCGGCAACCCTGAATAATTAGCGCGAGCGAAGGTTGTGCAACTTCATGCCCGCGTTAGGCGGTCGTCGTGGCATGCCCAGCGTAATTGTCATGGTAAAAAAGTGTTGTGTCAGGGGAGGGGCCAAGAAGAGAGTAGACCAAGCGGGGCCTCGAAGCGAGGATCATCATACAGTGTCCATGCCAGCAGGTGGCATTGGGAAGAAGAATCGCCTATCCGCCGGTGGTATCCCCACTGCCGAAGGTTGTCGAAGAGGTAGGCTATCCTCCTGCGTGCTCACGGATGAATTGCCTTCGGTGCTCCTGTCTCTTCACAGCCTCTTTCAAAACGGCTGAAGCATTTGAGATACAAGGGGGCCAATATACGGCCGGTCGCCCGATACAAGGCCGGTGAAATCACTTGGCGCAGATGGAATATTCAACTTGTCTCGTACTCTGTGAGTAGTGCCAGGAGCCCTGGAAACACAAGGCCGGTAAAATCCTGCGGCACTCGGTGGGCCTACATCGCCCCCCCTATTAACTATACCTTTGAATCGTCTGTTGAAGAACTCGTGGGTGAGTGGCGTGGCCACAAGCTCTACTTCTGTCCGTCGCCGCACGTCCGGGATAATCTTCTCTAGAGCCTTCCACATGCACTCCGCCCTCTCCTTTTTCAGCGCCTGCATCACACAACGGTTTCAGGATGGTGGTCATACAACGGCACGTGTCCAACGAAGCCAACAGAACCCACATCAAACCCGCTGCTGTAGTAATAGCATGATGATTTCGGTTTTCAACGGAAGTGAAGACAAAAAAAAAAAAAGCTTCCATCGCACCGTCCTCCCCTCCGCAAGAGTGTGAGGCATCTGCACCGAAACGCTAGTCCGCACCATGTGAACGAAGATTCTTGCACCCTACCTACCGCACACTTTCCGTTCTCCGAACGGTTTGCGCACCTCATACTCCGGGGAGCCGCGCTTCATCCCTTCCCACAGCTTGTAGGGCTCGTTTCCGGCCGTGTAGATGTGCACCAGGTGCTTGCCCTCGGGCGCGAGTGACTTGTCGAGCACCGTGGGGATGCTGACGATGAACATGTTCTGCGGGGCGTCGATGGGCACCGTCCACGACTCTACCACCTATTTCCAAGTGCAGAGTTTAGGCGCAATCACTTACTCAAAGATGTGTACGCGCTGAGCTCCCTGCTCGTTGGGCGCGGATCAAAACAACACCCGACATTTTTCTGCCGCGTTAGGCTACATCACCGCAACACACCCAACTCTATCGGTCCACAGCGACCGGTAGAGTCAGGGTCACCATACCGTCACACGCCGCCAACGCCCTATCGACGTCTTTGACGCACCACCGTGGGAGGGGGGTGCCTGCATCGTCAAGTTATTCTTCATCCACCGAATCCGACCCCGTCCTCGTCAAGGCCGAATTCAACCTGACAGCAGTGCCACCCTCGTTCTTCCCTCTGTCGAAACACTTACATGTGTGTGATTACTTCTCTTATTCAAATCCCACCGAGCTGTATACGTTCTCACTTCAATCAAATTTTGTAATGAAAACTAACAATAGTAGTGGATGTCTCACTTCATCAAATCTCACCGAGTAATGCATGTCTCACGGGTAGTCCATGTCTCCCTCAACCGAATCTCTTTACCAAATCTCACCCGTGACTTCCATCAAACCATCTTCACCAACTCTCACCGAGTAGTGTATGTCGAGATCGTGCAGCCCCTCGGCGTCGATGCCAAGGTGGAGGTGCATGAAGCTGCCGGTGTCAGGTGTGTACATGCTGTCCTCGATGTACTTGGGGTCCACCGCGCCCTCTGGGATCAGTCTTTCGGTGCAGATTAGTCCCAAAGATGGGGGTAGGGAGGCGGAGAGGGAGGAGTTGGAGAAAGAGGGCAGGGTCGATGCGTAGGAGGGGAGGGACGAGGAGATCGGAACATACTTCAAGTTGTGGGGGGATGCGGCAGAAAAGAAAGGTATCATGCCTGACTGTGACATTCGCATCGAGGCATCGAGGCGCTATGCGTGGTCGTCTTTGATGGTCAATCCCTCGGCAGTAGTAGCAAGCAGCATTCACAACGAGGCGCAATAAACTACCACATTTTCTTTCCCACAGACATCACCAAGCAAAACCGCTTCCTTCTTAGTTGGACACGATCGTCCTTCTGACTTCCAACTACATACGTCAAGCACCTCCGGGACCTTTGTGCCATCTTTTTAATCGCAGAACGTCTAACCCCGAACAAAACCACACAAAAGAACTAGACATGACAGCCTCTCGTTCCAAACATTACCCAATAGTATCCCATATGGACGCGTTAGACACCACGGCCTTCCGAGCTCTGACAACGGCACCAGATCTGAGCTTAACGCCGACGGCCTTGCCCCCCTCCACCACGATCTCCTGAACGTGGGACTTGAGCTCGACCCTTCCGCCTAGCTTCTCGATGCCCCTCACCTGCGGACGTTGTGCGCTAAAATCATTAATGTTACACGTTGATTGGGTGATCGCTCTTGCCCAACATGTGGAACAAACCAAAACAGAGGGGCATGGGATAGATCGGGCTGGACCACTTGATGCGATACAACCCAAAACGGAAAACGGCAAAATGTGTTGACGTCTCTTCTTGCTCACCACGAGCGCACGTGCACTCTTCAAGGTACCGTAAACGACGGAGTTTTCCCCCCGCAGTAGAGCCCCCCCCCCCCCCCCCCCCNCATTACCTCTTCGGCCTGGAAGCACGGCTTCTTTGATTTAGCCCCAGAGTAGATCGTTTTCGACCAGAAATAAAAAGATCCCCCCGGGTACTTCGATTTCCCCCCGGGGTACCAGTTTTCCCACGAGTTCCCCGCGGGGGGATGTATTTCCCATATTTTCTGAGTCAATATTGTTGAATCGCGGAGAACAAAAAGCACGATATGGGACGGAAAATTCATTTGCAGATCTGCGCTTCGAGCGAGATTTAGGTGTACCGTTTGTCACTTGGCCCTCGCCGTTGTTTTATGGATGAGAAATACTTTCGTTTTTTTCGTCATATTCTTGCATTTATCATCCCCGGAGTCCAGCTGAAACGTGCCATAGCATGCCGACAAGACCTTGCGCACAAAGGGAAAAAACAATCGTATTCATTTTTACGGTAAACCTTCTCAGTTTCGCCACTTCCTGTGTGTGGTGTGTGGACCATCATTATTTTGCACAACTCTCCGGGGGGGGGCTTCCCCCCGGGGTAGCGTTGGAAAAGAAAAACTTACCCCCCGTGAAACGTCAATTTCCCCCCGGGGGGGTCGGTTTCAGAAAAAAAAAAATGATCCCCTCCCCGGGGGGAAAACTCCGTCGTTTACGGTATCTCTACACGGCACCATCCTGGTGTCGGCCGGGTGCAGTACGGCGCCCTCTACAGTGCGGGTTACATAGTTCGGGTGCCGTGGAGTAATCAACATGGTTAACGCATTGAACAGTGTGGGTACCCGCTGTAGCACGGCTGCAAGCGCGCTTGTCACAAACCCGCACCATAGAGGGCGCCCGACGGCTGTAGTATAGGCATCTGTGAGAAAGCATCATGCCTCACCATGGCCGTAATAACCGCCCCGCCGCCCCCTCGCGGGTAGTCGATAACGCACCCCGGCCGGTGCAAGTCTCCTATGGTGTAGATCACGGCCGCCGCCATCGTGCCATCTGCCGGCAAACCGCTGCGTTCACGTCACGACGAAACGCAAGCAACATTGTTCAAGGGAGCAACGTTAAGGAGGCCAACGGCCCACTCAAGAATGTGTCCACCCACACCGAACACGTCGAGAGGGTGAAATTCGACGAAGAAGCAAAAGAGTACAACAAGAAATCCACAGCCTTGTGCTGTCCTGTCGTCCGTCACCTATCGTCCCAAGCCAAGCCAAGGACACCAATTGAGAACAGCCTTGCGGTACAATTTAGGTGATGGGGCCCTCATCGCTCTCGCCCTCGTTGATACCGGCAACCCCGCCAAGGTGCGCGTTTACGGCTGCACTCGAGGACCTCTTGTTTTGATTGTTGCTTTGTCGATTGATTTTTTTTTTTTCTCCCATCATTGGACTCACCCCCCCCCCGGTGTTTGCCATCGGGGTTGGGTTTTCGTCGCTTGGCAACGACGTTGTAAAACAAGCCGCCCCCCCCGGTGTTTGCCATCGGGATTGGGTTTTCGTCGCTTGGCAACGACGTTGTAAAACAAGCCAATTCACTTCGTGAACTCGGCAACCAGGTTACCG